TTATTGTTTTAACTTATAGGAACTCATTAAATATCTTGGGTAGTAATCATTTGTTATATCTATTACACATATCCTCTATCAATGTATAGTCTGGTTGGTTGGTTGGGTTTTTTTAGCTTTATTTGTGGTATCTTTTTTGTTATAGTTTTAATGGTTTGTAGTTTCATGTTTTGTTTAGGAAATTCTTAGCTCCAAGATTAACATATTCTATATTTTCCTCTAAAGTTTTTCTTTTCATACTTAGTTTTCTGAATAGGGATTTGGTTTTGTATAGAGTACACTGTAGGCTTTCAGGTCTGTTCTGTTGGTCTATGTGTCTGTCCCCACAGTCTCTAGACTTCAGTAGGATTATAAAAATCATGATGAATGATAGGACCTTATTAAAAATTGTCTTGGCCATTCATGTTTTATTGCTTTTTCATATTAATTTTTGTATCAGCCTAAGTTCCAGAGGTTGTGAGGGTTGTATCCTGTTGGTTTTTTTATTGAAATTGCACATTAATTTGGGGATAATTTACATGAATTGGGTATATTCATATATTTAGAACTTCTTTATTATCTTTCAATAGCAAAGATACCTGTTACTTCTATGGGTCTTACACATACTTTGTTTGGATTTCATTCGAAGTACCTTATGTTTTTTGTTGTGATTTTAAGTTTTTATTACATTTTAAGTTGGTTTCCAATGTATAAGATTGTAATTTATTTTCCTAGGTTCATCTTAAATCTAGCAACTTTGCTAAACTCTTTCATTAATTCTGTAATTTATCTGTAGATTATTGGGTTTTCTGTGTAGAGAGTCGTATCGCAGAGAATAATAATTATGTTTCTCCCTTTCCATTCTCTTTACCTTTTATTTCTTTTAACTTGAATTACTGTGCTAACTAGGACTTCCTATTAACTAAAGTTGAAGTTGCCATAGATTTTTTGTAGATAACTTTTATCAAATTAAGAAAGTTCTCTTCTGACCCTGGTACAGTGAAAGTATTAGCTATGGTACTGAATTTTATCTAATGCTTTTTGGGGGGGCATCATCTGTGGAAATGATTGCATGCTTATTTCCTTGAACAGGTTAATGTGGCATATTTTATTAATAGATTTTTTAATATTTAACAAATATTTTTCAATTAAAATTAGCTAATTTATGAAAGGGGAAGGAATAAAATACATATATATGTAAGTTTATAAAATATTAAGGATTTAACCAAGGGATGGAGAAGCAGATCTTTGCTCATTGAAACTCATACCTAATTCTACTGTACTCAACCCATCTTTTGTAAGAGCTTTTCCCCAAAAAATTTTAAAGTATTTATAAGGTAACAAGCATCTTTGAACTTAATCAATTCACAGAGCATTTCCCATACTCATTCACACTTAATTATTACTATAAATAAGATACTCATAATTTCTCCAATTTTGATCTGAACATCTAATTTGTTCTAGATGTGGGGTCTAGGACAGATTTTCTAATTTACCGTATGGCCATAGACAAGGCATTTTAGATCTCTGTCTTCATCCACATCTAACAGGGATAATAATAACTTTTTAAACCTACTTTATGGGCAAGTAGGCATAGGATTTATGTGAAAATATTTTGCTAAAGTTACTAAACAAGACAAAATATGTAACATTTCATTACACTGTTTTCTAATATTTGATTTTATATTTTAACCAAATAAATGTTGCATACTTTCAAACTACAAAATTCAGTAGTTATACAAGGTGAATTAAAGTAGTAAAACTGGCCATAACAGTAAACCCATTCATCCATGCTGTCATTTAATTACATTAAGAAATAATAAGTATGTAAAATAGGTTAAATTTTGTAAAAATATTCCTATGTATTCTATCCTAGGAGTTCTTGCCCATTTCAGTGGATCGTCTGGCATTGGCCATGGCATCAGGCACTTGAAAAGTCTTTTTTTCCATAGACTATCAGACAGATTCGGCAGCCCAACCAAGATCTGTTAGCCTGAACGCCAGATTGGACTTGTCATTCTCATCAGAGATTGCTTCTAATATCTCATATACGTGCTTTTTAAAGATGAGGTGACAGAGCAAGCCAAGATTCCCTCACATGCACCCAAGCCATCAATATCTAGATAGCAACCAAACCACAACATCTAGCAGAGAGTCAGCGACTCCTTTGGTTGTTAATGTTTCACCATTGCGGTTTAAAAAATGGACTTTCATCTTCTGAGCTGCTCCACGTCCACGCCAACACGCTCAGTGTCCAGATCGCCACCGCCCAGACCCAGTTCAGCGCTCCCTCCTGGCCCGGTCCCGCGTGGGCTCTGGCGAGGAGCCGCCACCCAGGGGACACACAGGAGGGGTGCAGAAGCTGGGCGTCCCCCGCGGCGGCCGTAGCTGGTCCTGTAACTAACAGGCGCGCCGCAGGCTGCACAATAGCGGCCGCGAGAAGCTCCCAGTGGCGGACGTACAGCCTGAGCCCGGGCCACCGTGAGGGTCCCGCAGGCCCGGGTACCAGAAACGTACTGCTCTGTACTGCGCGCATCGAGGGCCGTAAGAGCTTTTTTCACTAAGTTTGTCTCCTCAGAGGCGTACATTTCTTCTAGAGAATATGGTAAACAGTAAAATGATTGGGAAGCATAGTGGGAAAAATAGTGAGGAAAATAATAGAATTTTAAATAGGATGAACAATGTTTGTTCAGTAGTTACAGCTCTGATGTAAGGACACATTGGTTGTTAAAGCTACTATTACAGTAATCCAGTGAAGAAAATTTATCTGTAAGATTAAAGGAAAGGCAAACATGTTACTTATCATATGTTTATTTTCCTTTATTTACTTTTTAAAAATTAACCTAGAAACAGTATGTGCTTATTTGGTATGTATCCTGTCAGGCTTTTTTCAATGCACAAAATTTTTCCCTTTTTATTATTTACTAAGTGTATTGGAGTGACATTTGTTAATAGGGTCAAGTGTACATTACTATTATACATGATCTATATATTGTGTACCAACCACCCATAGTCAGATCATTTTTCATCTTCATATATTTGGCCTCTTTTACCCTCTACTACCTTCCCACCTCCTTCTCTTTGGTAACCACCATACATTTGCAATAGAATATAATATATACATTTTTTAATAACCTTCATCCGAGGATATGTTTATTGATTTTAGGAGGGGAGAGAGAAAGAGAAACATGGCATTGTGAGATAGAACCATTCATTGGTTACCTCCCATAGCTTCTCTGATGGGGGATCAAACCTGTGGCCTTTTGGTGCAGGGAAGACGCTCCAACCAACTTAGCCACCTGGTCAGGGCAATGTATACATTTTTAAAACTACTTCAGATTTGAATAAAATATCCAGAATGCTAACCCAATTGTATCAGTCTCTCCTTTCTTAAGTATTTGAAATTGTGGAGGTGTTTCTAAAGTTTATTTGGGTGGAAGTTTAGCAGTGAGTATTGATTCCTCTTAAATCTTCCTAGAGAAGTACTCATGGATGTACACAAACAGACACATAGGCCATTCATTGGAATATTTTTTGTGCTGGTAAATAAACAAAACCAATGTAATTATTCATTATTATGGACTTGAATTTTTGGATATATCCATGCAATGAGATAGCCTGTGGCTGTGATAAAGGATAAAACAGTTCCATATTAGTACATATAGATCTATCTTCAAGTTATATTATGAGAAGAAATCAAAGCCCAGAACCGTGCTTCTAATGTTTTACCGTTTGTGTTCTTTTTCATTGAGGGAAAGGGTCTATATATTGGTTTAATTATTATGCACCAAAACTGTAGAATAAAATGAAGCCATTATAAAGAAACTTATGACATGGAAAGATTTCTAAGACATATCATTAATTTAAAAAATAATAAGTCATAGAACATTGATCTCATGTGAAAAAAGTCGTATGTACATTTTATATCTGTAAGTGCATATCAAAAGAACACGGTATATCCATGGATACTTATCTACCAACAATGGTTACTTGGAAACTGGAGGAAGTCTTTATTTTGTATATATTATTTGAATTTGTAATAAAGGAAAAGAGAATATGTGCTCACTATAAAAAATGAAGATTTAAAGATAAAAAGGAGAAAATAAAAAGTATCTACAGTACTTTCACCACCCACACGTATCCTTAGATAACTACTCGTAAAGCCTTGATAAATATTCTTCTAGAAGTAAGGGATATTTTGTGGAGGACATAAAATTCTAAACCAATGCAAGGAAGAAAAAGAGCACCATATAAAAGGTTTACTCTTAGCAGACAGTGGGCATGTTTTTTAAGAAAAAAAATAATATGTAGCTTATTGTCTATTTTGGTTTTACTTTTCATTATATCCCTACTGTCTTTATAGCATATAACAGATGTCAATAAGCATGTGTTTAAGAAATATGTGAAAGTGGTGTACGAACCATTTGTGAAGCTCTTCCAGTTCCAAAACCCAAGATTAAGAAATAGTGCTGGTTGACTATAAGAAAACTTCAGCTGTAGCTAGATAACATTGGGCAGATACTCCTTACTATTGTTACTACCGATAGCTTGCATTAGTACTAATAGCCTTTAATACTGCTGCCTTCTCAAATCTGTACAAGACAGGGAAAGCTCACATTAGAATAGATAAACACTCTGGAGTGTCATAGAAAGCATTGTTTAAGAAATAATTCCTAATCTTCATTTGCTAAGGAGCTCAGGCTTTCTTTGTCCCTGTACAGGCCTTGTCTCATACCCAGGACACTTCTCTGTACAAGTAGTAGAGAATGCAATGATTTAATTACCATGGTGAAATAGATAGATTATAAGAACTGTAGTGTTTAGCTTTTCTGTTCTTGTGCTTGTCTTGCAGTTAAACAGATAAATTTAAACTGCTTAATTTTGAAAATATTTTTATACATATGTAAGTATACATAAAGGATAATTTTAACTCTATAATTAGTTCATTATCATGGAGCCTGATATCATTTCTGAATTTTTAAGGAAACATTAATTTGTACTATTTGTGTTTTTCTTCTTAGTTTCTGCCACTGCCTTCTACAAAGCACAACCTGTAATTCAGTTCATGTGTGAAGTTCTTGACATTCATAATATTGATGAGCAACCAAGATCTCTGACTGATTCTCATCGGGTAAAATTCACCAAAGAGATAAAAGGTGAATTAGCATTTGGAGCAACTTACTTATAAAATTCATGAGTATAACAAACTTTTATTGAAAAAATTTTTAATTAAAATCTAGTCATGTAGCATTACCAGTAAAATAAGGATCAGTGATAAAATATGCAATAAGTTCATTACCATAACATCTCAGGTAGCGTTTAAATGAAATAGGTACCAAGTAATGGAATTAATATTAATACCAGCTAATTTTTTGTTAATACTTTTCCATACTAACTGAAGGTATTAAGAGCATCTCACAGGGAAATGCTGCTATAATACCATTAAATGTAGAAAGCTTATTTCGGAAGCATTGTTACTTCAGAACTATAATCATCCTTTGAACATATTCTAATATACTGACATACCTCTGAGATGATAGCAGAATATTTTATTCCTTTTAAAATTTATGGATGTGGGACTAGCTGTTTCTAGAGTTGGAACTTAGTTATTTCATATATATTATACAGTTGATCATTATATCTTGCCTTTTTTAGTGAATAGCTAACATTTGTACAGTGGTGTTGCATCATGTATGTGTTTTACTAATATAAATTCACCTCTCTAAATGGTCTTCCAAAAAAAGGAAATAGTTTTAATAGTGTTCTAATGTGTATAGTTTGTATATATTTGCTCTTTATATGTATGTACATTTCTATATATATTTAAATATACATATACAGTTTTATATGCAAACCCACATACACTGATTCTGTCAGCAGTTTAAAGGATTTTACAAGAGCAATTTTGATTCAGAGTAGCTGAATACATCCTGCTTGTTCCAGTAATCATTCTTTGCCATTTAGTAACCAGGAAAGAAGTAATCATTGTAATAAAACATTACAAGGAAAATCCTTATAACTTTGAAAATAAGCATCCATTTATCTCAAGTAATCAAAGTATCAAAATAAGAAAATGTTATATAATACTCTATTGCAATTAAACCATTATCCTTTCATAATCTATTAATTGCATAGTTAGTATGTTGGGAGGTAGTGCATTACACAGCATTAATATGTGATTATCTAAATGCAGTGGTTTTCAGTGGAGTAACTGCTTAATTACCATCTCTGATATCATGAAATCATTTACATTATCTTATGGTAACTATGCAGTCAACTCATAGCACCACATTTTCACAGAAAATACAAGATTTACAGAACAAGGATTCAACTGCTGCCCAAAGAGCATGGATTCGATCTTAACTTCAGCTGCTCAGGGGCCTAAAGAAATGACTAGAAAGCATTATAAAGTTGATGTTATAGTGAAGGTAAAGCCAAGTTTATGGTTAAATATTTGATTTATTAAAGACTTTTTTTGGATTTGGAGAGGAACCTGGGCAGAGAATTATGTAGTTCATTTTTTAAACTTTCAACTTTTTGCTAACTCTTGGATTTTGGTCTTATCCTTAGGAACCTATGACCTTAGGTTCAGGGTAGAAAAATCTGAGTTGGATCTAATTAACAAACTAATGATTTTTTTCTCCACGCAAACTGAAGAAAGCTTTTTTTTTTTTTAAAGGGATCTTTAAAATGTATCATGTATTCCTACCGCAATAAATCAAAAAAATGAAAGTTATATGTTCTGTGCTATATATTTGGGTTTAATTTTTGGCTGGTTTGAGGAATTTGATGAAAATTTAAATAGTGATTCAAGTGTGCTATACGAAGTGTGAATACAATTCCTTAGTATATTCATTTGGTTCCATGTGAACTTTCTCCTATTAGGGTGATTTCTGTAAGCAGTAATTCATCATAGTTAAACAGCAGAAATATTGGGGGAAGTGTATGGTAAAAGTAACATACGTATATAAGAATACCAATTTTTTTAAAGATTTTATTTATTTATTTTTAGAGAAAGGGGAAGGGAAGGAGAAAGAGAGGGAGTGAAACATCAGTGTGTGGTTGCCTCTCACACACCCCCCTCCTGGGGACCTGGCCCGCAACCCCAGCACGAGCCCTGACTGGGAATCGAACTGGCGACCTTTTGGTTTGCAGGCCCACGCTCAATCCACTGAGCTATACCAGCCAGGGTCCAATTTATTTTTTGTAAAAACTTACAGTAGGCTTGTGGAACTTTATTAATAAATTGTTTAATTTAAGGGGAAGACTTAAGAACAATTGCTAAGTTGTGTAAGGTAACAGAAATTTGTTATAAATTTTCTATCTTTTCCCCTAAACATAATACTTGATAATATTTTATTTTCTAGTCTTCTTAATAATATAGAGGCATAGATGTGAAATTCTAGTTTTATAAAAAGTTAATTATTAAAAAATTATTTCTAGCCCTGGCTGGTGTGGTTCAGTGGACTGAGTGCCATCCTGTGAACCCAAAAGTTGCTGGTTCGATTCCCAGTCAAGGCACATGCCTGGGTTGGGGGCCAGGTCCCCAGTAGGGGGCATGCAAGAGGCAACTAATCAATGTATTTCTTGGACATCATTGTTTCTCTCCCTCTCTTTCTTCCTTCCCTTCTCTCTAAAAATAAATAAAATCCTTTTTAAAAAATTATTTCTCACTGATTCAATAGAGTACTCAAGAAAAACCTGTACCAAACTGGTAAAGTAACAGTGTGTTCATTTAACATTAATTTTTGCTGATAGAAGGAAATACTACTATGAGTAAACTTTATATTTGATTCTATAGTTAGTAATTAGATAGGAAAATAAGTTATACTATAGAAGGGTTTCCCAACCTTGGCAGTGTTGACATTTGAGCTGGATAATTTTTTATTGTAGTCAGAGGTGGGAGTTAGTGCTGCCCTGTGCGTTGTAGGATATTTAGCAAGATCTCTGGATCTAAGTATTCCTAAACCTAGCATCCACCAGATGCCAACAGCACCCCCAGTTGTGACAATCAAAAATGTCTGTAAAGTACAGCATATAAAATATAGTCTATAATATTGTAATAACTATGGTGCCAGGTTGGTACTTGAAACATCAGGGGTGATCGCTTTTTAAGTAATATGATTGTCTAACCACTATGCTATACACCTGAAACCAAAACAAAATAATATTGAATGTATACTGTAATTGAAAAATAAAATTTTTTTTAAAGTCTCCAAACATTACCAAATGTTCCCTGGAGGGCAAAATTGCCTCTGTTTAAGAACCACTTCACTCTGGGAATCACAGATATAAAAGGGAAATAATACAAAAGTAACTATAACTAGCTGGGAACTAAAAGTTGTCCTCCATCTACCCCTTTTTAGATTTTCCACCTTTGGAGTGTAGGCCATAGAAGTGGAGTTGTTTATCTGTGAGCAGGAGCCAGTGTATCTGTTTAAATCTTCTCTAGGTAGCTCTAAAACCACTGGCCTAAACACTAGCCACTAGCTATTTCAGTTTAAGCTAGTTAGAATTAAATCGAATTTTCAGTTTCTCAGTTACACGCATTTCTAGTGATTACCATATTAGCACAGAGATAGAAAACTTGTATTTCATCATCTCAGAAAACTGTTGGGCAGGACTGCTTAAGAAAATCCATCCCGAAGAATTTCAGCCAATGATTTAAAAGTCCATTGCTTTACTTTCTAAAACAGGCCTGGGATCCTCCAACTCCTAAAGCAGCGATTTTCAACCAGTATGCTACAACCAGTTTTTAAAACATGCAATCCCTGATTATTTAGTCAAGGGCATAGACCTCTTTTCCCCTAGATTGTCAATAAAAAATGATGACAACCAACACAATAATAATTATCTGGTGTGAATGCCCTATCTTGAACCATAAATATATAGGTCCTATAATAATAGAGTTGCATCTTATTGGCCACGTCACAAAATAGTTGCATCTAATTGGTTAATTCTTAGTACCAGAAAACCTTACATACAAGTATAAGGCGCCTCATTTTTTTAAAAAAATCACATTGGAGCAAAAGGATAAGTAATTACTTTTTTTTTTTTGGTACCCCTTTTTTAATCAAAATTATACCCTTTTTTTTTTTTTTGTCAGATTGACAAAAAAATATTAATTTTTTGGTGTGCTGTAGAATTTTAGTTACTAGCTTATGTGTGCCATGAGATGGAAAAAAGGTTGAAAATCACTGCATTAGAGTCCACAGATGGGCTAAAAGGATCCAGGGACATATAAAATTATATGTTAAATTATGTGCCTTTTTTGAGTGTATTGCTTTCATCAGATTCTCAAAGGAATCAATCATTCCACAATAAAGTAGGGATCGCCTGATCCAGGAATTATTTTGGTTGCATTTGATTTCTTATAGTCAGTAGTAAAGGCTGTGTCACTATATTATACTTCAACAAAATTGTCACTCTACTTAAGTTAAAAAGGCCAGGATTTTTTTTTTCTTCCCTGCTTTAAAAAGCTGTGAAGGACTTCCTTCTTGAATTTTATGAAATTCTGATCTTCACTCAGTATGTGATGACTGGGCTATTCAAATGTCACATACTCTGAAGGTTATAGAATATCCTGAGAATTATTGTACTCCTTTCATTCCTCCTTCCTTTTCCCAGCATAAATACTGGAATTTATTATAAACAAGGTTTTTTCAAAATTGATGGAGAACTTTGTCCCTTGATCTACAGGCTTTGCAAATTCTATGATACTATTTTTTTTAATATGTAGAGTTAGACATGATAGGGAGAATGTTTGGAGTTAGGTCTATTTTGATTGTAACCATTATTTGCAATGCTTTCTATAAAATCCTTTGTTAGTATCACATTGCCTATATCACAGTTTTTCTGTTTAGAATTTATTTGAGTTTTTGTAGTAATGAATAGGCTCTTTAGATATAAATATTTTTCATGTCACTGTTCTGTAACCTCAGTTTTTCTTGTTTGGAACAGGTCTGAAGGTTGAAGTGACTCATTGTGGAACAATGAGACGGAAATACCGTGTTTGTAATGTAACAAGAAGGCCTGCCAGTCACCAAACGTAAGAAAAGCTGGTGTTTGTCAGCAAAGATGATGTGAGGCAGCTTGCTTTAGTCAGCAGATTGAGAGTTTTGCTGGCTCATAATGAGATGAGTTATTAATGTGTACTTTTTTTTCCAGCTTCCCTTTACAGTTAGAAAATGGCCAGACTGTGGAGAGAACAGTAGCACAGTATTTCAGAGAAAAGTATACTCTGCAGCTGAAGTACCCACATCTTCCCTGTCTGCAAGTGGGGCAGGAACAGAAACATACGTATCTGCCACTAGAAGTAATGTGTTTGGGCTTCTTATTAATATTCTCTTATTCATCTTTCTGTTGTGGCCCTTTATGGCCTGTAAATTTATACTCACATTTATTTTGGAGTTTTGGTTTTAAGTTTTATTCTAAATTTTCGGTAATATAATAGTATGGAAAACGTTTATCCACAATCTTGCCACTCTGAATGTAACCACTCTTAGCATTTTGGTACACTTCTTTTCAGCCTTTTTATTTTACCTGTTATACTGTAAAGCAGTGTTGTTGACTTTTTTTATTTAATATGATATTAAAAAGCAGTTTAATAAAGTAGATTTTAAAATTTATTTTCATATGTAACTAGCACTGAGTTTGAAAAGATATATACATCTAAATTTTTTATTTATAGGTTTGTAATATTGTGGCAGGACAACGATGTATCAAGAAGCTAACGGACAATCAGACTTCCACTATGATCAAAGCAACAGCACGATCTGCACCAGATAGACAAGATGAAATTAGCAGATTGGTTAGTACTTAACCCTAGTCATGGGAATTAAAAATGTATTAAGGTGGCACTGATCTGTGTGGCTCATCTGGTTGAGCATCACCCTGTAAAGCGAAAGGTTACCAGTTCTATTCTTGTCAGGACACATGCCTGGGTTGCAAGTTCAGTCCCCTAGTCAGGGAGTGTACAAGGGGGAACCAGTTGATGTTTCTCTCTCACATCAGTGTTTCTCTTCCTCTCTTCCTCCCTCCTTTCCCCTCTCTCTGAAGTAATAAATTAGTTAAGTAAATAAGTAAGTAACATGCACACACGCAGTGCTCACACCTCAGTACTCATAGGCTTCAGAATTCATCAGACCTGGTACTTGCTGCATTTTGACAACAAAAAATGTTTCAGCACTTGGTGCTCAAGCGTTGCGCTTGCTAGCAATTGTATGAGTCACAAAACCAGCCCCGCAAGAGAAAATGCTTCAATTGTTGCCTGCTTGCCACTCATGGGAACAAATTAACAGCAAGTACTGAAGTACCACTGTGTATGTGTGTGTATATACATGTATATAGTAGGGTGAGCTACTGAAGAACTATGTCCTTATCAGCTCATACCTTATTGCCATTTCATGAGCTATCAGAAATAAAAGGAATCAGCTCTGACTGGTGTGGCTCAGTGGATTGAGTGCCAGCCTGCAAACCAAAGGGTAACTGGTTTGATTCCCAGTCTAGGGCACATATCTGGGTTGCAGGCCAGGTCCCCAGAAGGGGGTGAGCAAGAGGCAACGACACATTGACCCCTTCCTCCCTTCCCCTCTCTAAAACTAAATAAAATTTTTTAAAAAAAGAAGTAAAAAGAATTATGGAAGTAAGTAATGTGTTCTGGGGGTAAAGCTTAGTGGGTTCTATGAGAAGAGTTAGAGCCTTCTAATTTAATCCCAAACTAGTTAAGCAGAGAACAGATTCTCTCAAGAACTAATGTTTCAATTTAGTGAACTGAAACTTCATTGCTTTCCACCTAAAAGAGGAAGGAAAAAAGGAAGAAAAGTAAAAGTATTATGACTAGTGATAGTAAAAATTTTAACAGCATAGAAGCACTTAGCTCCCAGTATCAGGATGGCAACTACAAGATGAATAAAGAAATATAAAACAGCTCTAACCATACAGGGCAGCAATTTTCAACCAATGTGCCGTGGCAGGCGCACTGGTGTGCTGCAAGAATATTTAAAACATGCAATATGTGACTCTTTACTCAGGTGCACTGAACTCTTTTCCCTTAAGATTGCCCAAAAAAAAAAAAAAATGGACAACAGCCAACACAACAATAGTTGTCCAGTGTGAATGAATCAAAATTATACCTATTTTTTGGTCAGATTGGCAAAAAATACAGCATATTTTGGTGTGCCACAGAATTAGTTCATATGTGCCAGGAGATGAAAAAAGGTTGAAGATACAGGCTTTCTAAGCTCTCTCATTGTTCTAAATGGAGAGGAAGAAGAAGTTATCAATACCACTTTATAAAACTGATGTGATAAGGCAAAATGAAAAATAAAAGGCACCTGGATTTTTTGTTCTTTAATATCATTTATATTGCCCAAGTGAGGAGAAGAAAGTCTGGAAATACGAATATTACCTAAAACAGTTTAAAAACACTTTCAGAAGCAGTCTTAAAGATTGTTGAAAAACGGTTTCAGGGCTCTTTCATTTTGTAAGCCAATTACAGAAGAAAGAATTTTTCCTTATAGTTTTATAAGGAGTGAATAAAAGGTGTTACACCCTGTATTTAATTAGGAAAATACAGGGTGATTCTCATGGATCTTTCTCTGATCTGCTATGACAAGATTTTAAAAACTTTAAAGAGACTAGAACCTCTCACTATCTCTATAAAATCTCAATAACTACTTCCAACTTATTACAGCTTTTCTGTTCATGGAGATAATGTTGTACAGTGGCTAAAAAGTGCTGGCTTTGGAATCTAACAGCTCTGGATTCAAACTCTAGCTTGTCCACTTACTATTATTAATAATGTATTATTAAAATTAAAGCCTCTGGAAGGCTAGTACAGTGATTGAAAGTAGAAAATCTAGAATCAGAATATACATGGTTTCAGATTCTATGTCACTCGTTTAACTATATGGTTTTAGGCCAGTTATTTCACTTTACTAAGCTTTAGTTTCCACCTCTGTAAAATAAAGATTATAAAAGAGCTATGTTTGTAAATACAAGACTACTGTGAAAATTAATTATTAAACATTTAGTCCCTAGCACACCGTGTATCAAGTCTTGGTAAATAGAAGTTGTTATTCTGTATAATCTTACTATGGAAATATATTAAAACACATAAGAAATGAATGGAGTTTAAGCTTGAAGAAAAGATGTACCAGTGACTGGCTTGTGAACAAAATAAGCTAAGGAATAAAACGGAAACAAAGGCATTAGATACATGGAACAGACTAAAGGCTGTTGGAGGGACAGGGGGAGAGGGGATTGGAAGGAAGAAGGTAAAGAGATCAGACAGAGAACATACATGCCTGACCCATGGACACTGGGCTGATGGCCTGAGGGAGAGGGGGGCAGACGCAGGGCGGGAGTGGTAAAGGGGCGGAGGGGGGGTGACTGCAATAGCATGAACAGTAAACAATAAAGAGAAAAATAATAATAGCATAAAAAATAAAATAAAAATAAAAATAGCATAAAAAGAAAAAAGATGCATCAGTGCCTAATTTAGAAAACAACTTTCCCTGCTTGTTGTAGGTAGATTCTTTTTACATATTTAGATCATACAGCTTTTTTAATGGATTGTTTCTCAAAGACTTGAACATTACCCTCTCCTAGTAACCTTATTTGCCCTTTACTCTGAAACCAAGTAAGTATATTTTGAAAAACTGTTAATATATAGCATGCTATAAACATGAATTACACATTAAGAGCCAGGTCTATATTGAATTATGATAAATTCTTTATATGTATGGATAAAATATGTGAAAATTATAATCTGTGTTTTGTACTGGCTTTCTTATCTGTCTCAAATGTATCCCATTAAGTAAATTTTGCAACATGGCACTTTATCTGAAAATACTGAAGTAAATTTTATATAAATTATGAACCAAGTAACTGTGTGGGGGAAGCCATAGTAATTAGGGGAAAAATAATTATCAATAGTTGCTATTAAACTATGTAATTTTAATAGTATATATCTCGATCTTCTAATCAGAGGTTCTTAACCTTACTTAGGCTAGGTATTTCTCTGGCAATCTTAGACCACCCTCCCCAAAGTATATTAGTTTTATCATATAAAATTACCATTTTCATGGGTTGTAGTTACTTGAAATTTCTATTATTCCACCTAATACATTTAAATTTTCTGTAAGTTACCAGGAGGTTCCCAGACTTCCTGCAGTCTGTTAATAACCTGTGGTCCTGGGTTAAGATTCTCTTCTCTGTGGTTTAGGACACCATTAACTAGACCTATTGTAAAACATTGTTGACACAGTGAAAGAAAAAACCAGAGTTCTAATAAGTAAAGCAGGACATTTGGGGAAATTTTGAAAGTAACTACTGACTTTCTGTTGTTAGGTAAGAAGTGCAAATTATGAAACAGATCCATTTGTTCAGGAGTTTCAATTTAAAGTTCGAGATGAAATGGCCCATGTAACCGGACGCGTACTTCCAGCTCCTATGCTCCAGTATGGAGGACGGGTAAAACCTCTTGATAGTTTTTAATTATAAACATACAGTTTCTATGTATGGAAGAAGGGCATTCCTAGCTAAGTGTGGAATTTAGAAAATGTTTTATTGTTGTAGTATTTTTTTGTTTCAAGGTGTCTTTGCTTGAGTTTAATAGAATGTTTTTCTATGATGAAAATATTACTAATATTGACTTAGAATAACCTATTCCATGTAGAATATCAGAGAGAGAGAGAGAGAGATGTGCTTATTGAAATAAACTGTGTTAAGTGTTCTTTTTTGCCATATTTCTCTTTCTTCTTTTTCTGCAGAATCGGACAGTAGCAACACCAAGCCATGGAGTATGGGACATGAGAGGAAAACAGTTCCACACAGGAGTTGAAATAAAAATGTGGGCTATAGCTTGTTTTGCCACACAGAGGCAGTGCAGAGAAGAAATATTGAAGTAAGTTTTGTCATTTGTTTGACTTTGGAACCTTTTTGTGTTTAAATTTTGTATTTCCGTTTTAAATTACTCAGCTAATGTTCTAACCAATGTTGCCTCAGTATGAGGTATAATCACTGAGCCTTTAAAAAGGCTTTTTCTCAATATGTTGATGAAGATTCCTAAATTTGTTAGTCATAGTAAAGTCACTGATATTCTTCTGGCATCTGTGGCATAGCAGGAGCATCATTGACTTTTGGTAGCAAAAAAATGAAAAATGCCACTCCCTAGCTTTTTTACTGTGGATAATTCTTTTTTATTTTTTTTAAAGATTTTATTTATTTATTTTTAGAGAGAGAGGAAGAGAGGGAGAGAAATATCAATATTTTGTTGTCTCTCATGCACCCCTCACTGGGGGCCTGACTGGGAATCAAACCCATGGCCTTTGGTTCACAGGACGGCACTCAATCCACTGAGCCACACCAACCAGGGTATTACTGTGGATAATTTTTTAATCTCATCATTCTTAAGTTTTCACCTTTTTAGAGTAGAGATAATAGTACCTATCTGTTGGGTAAAGATTAAATGAGATTCTTATTTCTTATTTGAGTTCCTTGAAAGAGTGGCTAACTCCTCATTCCCACTTCCTTGCTTTCCAAAATTTGGCCTCCATCTCCAACATTTTCCTTCTTCCCTCAACATGTAAGTGCTCAACAATCTCCTATGTAAATTTAAAAGAAACAAACAAAAGATCTGCAGTTTTCAGATACTTAACTTACTCTCCCAGGCTCTCAAGGCTTCCAAATCTTACTGCTCTGCTGAAACTGGTTTCTGGAAGATCTCCAGTGTCTTGTTAGTTCTAGTAGTCTCTTCTCAGCCATTATTTTTTTTCAAAATTTGTGCAGCATTAGGTACAGTTGGCTCTCTTCTTGGCATTCTCTCCATTCATGCCTTCCTGGTTGCTTTTTATTACGTTGGCTTCTCCTCTGAGTCCTCTCCTTTGGGACTCTGCGGACATTGGGCCTTTGACAATCTCAGGGGCTTCTGCTGTCACTCTTGTTTGAGGAGTCATGCTCTTGTGACTGCCCCCACTCCAAAACTTTTAGGCTTCTCTTTGACAAAGAATAACATTAAAAATCAATGTGACATTTAAAATCATTCATCTCCCTCTTAAGTGATTTCTTGATTTTCACATATTTTGGGACAGAAAACTGAAGCACTATACTCCCTGTATCTTCCTGGCATTCTTTTTCCCTTTCCACACATGCTTCTTCTTACTGTCTCTGCTCATCTAAATACTACTCAGTCTTCTGTGATTTGTGATGCTGAAAGTAATCTCTCTTAACTCTAAACATACTAATTTATTAACACCCTCTTTATTTGCACATGTCACTTTCTGTATAAAATAGAATTATGTTATAATTGTGTAAATTTCTTACTTCCTCTATAGAATCTAATTTTCTTAAGAAAATGATTATTATCTATTTTAAATCTCTACTAAGTGCCAGCCAGGTCCCTCCCTGGTTGGAGGCATGCAAGAGGCAACCAATATCTGTTTCTCTCTACACATCAATGTTTTTCTCTCTCTCTCCCTCCCTCCCTTCCCCTCTTTCTAAAAATAAATGAATAAAATTTTTTTTAAAATCTCTACTAATAGATCCTATAAAGTATGCCCATAATGAATAGTTGTTAAGTGATGTAGAGACCAAGTTATACAAATCATTTCAGAATCTACCTTGTTTCCTTTTATGAGAAATAAATTTTTTTATTTAATTCTGTTCACTTCTTTTTATTAGGTCCAAATCTCTAAATGTATGCTTTAAGATTTACTTATTATTTTTTTCTCAAGTTTTTATCCCGCTGCTTTCAAGTGAAATGTCATAAGGGTAGCTTAACTACAATGCTGCAATTATCTTACTTGACCTTACTTGACCCAGAGACCAAAGAAAAACCCTCCAATTATTTTTCAAGCTTAGAGTTATTCTTTTCATTCTACATTTGTTATTCATGGCTTGATAGAAGTCTCATAATCATTGGGCTTATGGCTCTTTTCAGGCTGACTGAAAATATGCACCTTTATGCTTCTTGAATTAAACACAAATAAGAAAAAAGAGAAGGGATTTTACACATTTTATATCTGTCCTAATGGAACTGGAGTGTTTTTGATCAAAAATGATTCAGATCCTTGATGTAGGACCTTATTTTTTTTTGTTGTTGTTTTTTCATTGAGTGGATTAATTTATTTTTTATTGTATTTTTTCCATTATCATTTATCCCCACATACCCTCTTCCACCTCCATGCATCCCCTTCACCCAAGACCTAACTTGTTTTAAAAACAAGTTATTGTTAAACCTTGACATCATTACTCATTTATCCTAGGCTAAACGCAGACTTTTGTTTAAATATGAAGTTATTAGTCTTTTGTTATTTTTTTCAGTATAGATAAAATGACATTAAAAATGTAGCCCTGGCTGGTGTGGCTCAGTGGATTGAGCACTGGCCTGTGAACCAAAGAGTCACCGGTTCGATTCCCAGTCAGGGCACATGCCTGGGTTACAGGCCAGATCCCCAGTAGGGGGTATGCATGAGGCAACCACACTTTGATGTTTCTCTTCATCTCTTTCTCCCTCCCTTTCCTTCTCTCTAAAAATAAAAATAAATATTTAAAAAAATGCCATCTGCCTAATTTGTTTTTAAATGTTGGTTTCTTTTCTTTTCTTTTCTTTTTAATATTTTCTGAGGGCACACTCTTTCCTGAGATCTTAATTTGAGAAAGGTAATACTGTGGAAGGAAGTCCTGGACCAGGTCAGAATTCTGACTGCCATTTGACCTTGGCCAAATACTTAATGTCTCTGAAACTGTTTCCTGATCTACAAAATGGAAATAATACCTGACCTACCACTTTCTTATGAACCTTGTCAGGATCTCATTAGAAAATATGTAATAGCTTAAATTTATTGAGTGCTTACCATGTCTTGGGCACTGTACTAAGTGCTTTGCATGTATTATCACACTTAATCTGCACACCAACCCTATCCTTAAAGTAATCATTTTACAGATCAGAGAAACTGAAAAAAATCACCTAAAATTTCATAGATAGTAACAGACCTAGGATTAGAACCTTTCAGGCAAACTCTAGAGCTGAGCTCTTAACCAGCACACTCTATTACTAATGCCCTTTGTAAACTACCAAAATGCCACATAACTGTATAGTAGTATTAATGTTAATTTGCAAAATAGATTACTGACCCACATTGTCCTTAACTTCAAGGGCCTGGTGACCTCTTCATTTATGGAACATTTTAACCTTTGCTTCATTCTCCATTCCCTTCCCAAACTCTCTATGACAACTTTGTAGGTATTGACTAGGCAAAGGTTTTATTTTTAGTGATTTCTTCTAGGGGTTTCACAGACCAGCTGCGGAAGATTTCCAAGGATGCAGGGATGCCCATCCAGGGCCAGCCTTGCTTCTGCAAATATGCGCAGGGGGCAGACAGCGTGGAGCCCATGTTCCGGCACCTCAAGAACACCTACTCTGGGCTGCAGCTCATCATCGTCATCCTGCCAGGGAAGACGCCAGTGTATGGTAAGGATATCTTAAGATTGCATTTTTCCTCAAGTATATGATACTCCTTTTAAAATTATGCTAAAACATATCCTAAAACTTTCAAAAATTAAAACATTTTTTAGCTTATAGTGTTTAAAACCATGTATTGTTAACTCCAAAAAGACAAATCAGTAGGACAAACTAAATGGTCTACAAAGACATGTAGACATGTACTTACAGACATGTTCAAGATTTTTATGTCTTCTTGGAGAATTGACCCTTTTATCACTATGTAATATCCCTCTTTCTCCCTGATAATTCTTCCAGTTCTGAAGTTTGCCTGTGTGAAACTAATACAGCTATTCCAGTTTTCTTTTCATTGTGTTAGCGTGCTATACGTTCCTGTCTTGCTCTATTTTTAATATATCCTTATATTTGAACATTTCTTTTTTTTTAAGCCTGAGGATATGTTTATTGATTTTAGAGAGAGAGGATGGAAGGGGGAGAGGGAGAAAGAGAGAGAAACATCAGTGCGAGAGAGAAACATGGTTCGGTTACCTCCCATACATGCCCCAACCAGGGCTGAACCTGAAACTTAGGCATGTGCCCTAACCCGGGATCAAACCTACAACCTTTTGGCATATGGGATGGTGCTCCAACCGGCTGAGCCACCCTGCCAGGGCTTAATGAGTCCTCATATTTAAAGTCAGCTTTTTGAAGGCAATACACAGTTGGTTCGTAATCTGACCTTCCCCTTTTACTGCCTTTTCTGGTTTTAATTGAGCATTTTTAATTATTTCATTTCCTCTCTTAGCATATCATATCAATTATACCTGTTTTATTTTATTTTTATATTGACTTGAGAAAGAGACCAATTTGCTGCTCCACCCATTTATGCATTCATTGGTTGATTGTTGTATGTGCCATGAGCAGGGATTGCGCTTGCAATCTTGGTGGATCAGGGCAACATTCCAACCAGCTGAGCTACCTCGCCATGGCCAATTATAGCTGTTTGAAAAAAATTTCTTTAGTGGTTGCCCTGGAGTTTGCAGTATACACTTACAATTAATCTAAGTCCTCTTTCAAATAATTTTATACCACTTCACAGATAGTGTAGATACCTTATAACGAAGTATTCCTGATTCCTCCCTCCTGTCCCTTAAAACATTGCTGTTACTCATTTCACCTACCCATAAGCTATAATCACCCAATACATTGTTACTATTGTTATTTTAAATAGTTACCTATTCAATTAGGAATAAAAATGTAAAAGAGTTTATTTTAATTTTACTTCCTCTTCTCTGACCTATATAATTTTCTTTGTCTCTAAAAAACTTCTATCCTTCTGGTAAGGCAAATCTACTGCCAACATATTCCCTTAGTTTTTATTTCTCTGAGAAAGTATTTCTCCTTCATTCTTCTAAAAACTGGTTTAATGTGTATTTATAAATCAAATTACGACTCGCATAGTTTCAAGTGTTAAAGCTTTCTGGAATTCTTTTTTAAAAAACAGTCCTTTCATAGCCTTTATCCCATTTGTCTTTCTGATAGAAAGACTCATCATTTGCCACTTCTTTTTTATTTAATTTTTTGTTCCTGAGTGCAGCTACCTGTATTTCAACTGTTTATATAGTTTTGCCCTCTTTTGCCTGAGCCCTAGGATCTCCGTGTTTGTCGCACATTAGCAGAGGCGTTGGCCTTCTTAAGTCAGTCACTTGGTGTCAGGCTTTAATCACAGTTTTCATTCCTTCTGATGTGCTATTTTCAGGGGGGAATTCTTGGGTTAACTTTTTTAAACAAGTTGTGTGCATGGGTGGTAAAATATACATAACATAAAATTTACCACTTTAACTATTTATAACTATACAATTCAGTGGCTTTAAGTGTATATACATTGTTATGAATCACCACTTATCCATTATCCATTTCCATCACCACTACTCATTTCCAGAACTTTTTTATAATCCCAAACAAAAACTTGGTACCCATTAAACAATAATTTCCAATTCCCCCTCCCACCAACCCCTGGTAGCCTCTGTTCTACTTTTCTGTCTCTATGAATTTACCTATTCTAGGTAACTCATATAGTACAATCATACAATATTTGTCCATTTGTTTCTGGTTTATTTCACTTAGCATAATGTCATCAAGGTTTATCCACATTGTTGCATGTGTCAGAATTTTATTCTCTCTGTGGAATAATATATATGGCATAAAATTTACCATTTTAACAAGTGTACAGTTTAGTAGCATTAAGTATATTCACATTCTTGTACAACCATCACCACCATCACCTCCAGAACTTTTCATCATCCCTAACTGAGACTCTGTACCAATTAAACAATAGCTTCCCATTCCTCCCTCTTCTTAGGCAACTACCATTCTTTCCATCTCTGCATTTGACTATTCTAGTTTCCCATGTTACTATTATTATTGTATGATAGATGAATCATACAATGTTTGTGACTGGTTTCTTTCATTTAGCATAATGTCATCAAGGTTTATACATATCATAGTATGTGTCAGAATTTTTTTTCTTTTTAAAGCTGAATAATAATACATTGCATGTGTGTACTGCATTTTGTTTATCTCTTCATCCATCAGTGGACACTTGGATTACTCCCAACATTGGGCTTTTGTGAATAATACTGCTTTGAATGTGAATATGCAGCTATTTGTTCCAGTCCTCTTACTTCTTTTGGGTGTATTCCCAGAATTGAAATTGCTGCATCATATGGTAATTCTATGTCTAGTGTTTTTAGCAGTTGCCATACTGTTTTCCTCAGCAGCTGCACCGTTTTGCATTCCTGCCAGCAATGCACAAAGGTTTCTATTTCTCCACATCTTCACCAACACTTATTTTCCTTTTCTTTTTTTTATAAGTCATCCTAATGGGTGTAAAGTAGTATCTCATTGTGTTTTTGGTTTGCATTTCCCTAATGATAGTGATGTAGAGCATCTTTTCATGTGCTAGTTGGCCTCTTCAAAGAAAAGACTATTCCAGTCCTTTGGCCACTTTTTAATGGATTATTTATTTTGTTCTTGTTGAGTTATGGGGGTTTTACTGTTTAATTGTTCCTACTAGTTACTAGCTTCATCAGCTTCTGCTTGTAATAAGCTTACCTTGGCTCTGATTATCTGTATTCACCTGTCCTGGGATGGTAGTTTGTTCTGTGACCTCAGGTCTCTGATACATCTAAGAAAAGTCATTGATTTTTCGGTTTGTGTAGATTTTGCCTTGTGAGGACAGGAGCGATGACTTGTAAGCCTTTTTACATATTGGAGCTATAACCAGCATCCAGGGTCTTTTTAAAATATGAATCTGATTGTATCTCCTTTCCTATCACCCCCACTTTAATCACTTTTAATTATGCAATTGATAAAATTAATATGTAAGTGAATCTTCTAAGGATCTGCATACTCAAATCCATGACTTTCTGCCTCTTCAGAATTCATCTCACTTTATACTTTTTTGCCCTCACAGAAATTCTTTGTTCATCCCCTTCCTTCTACCTGTATTGCTTCTCATAACCCACTTTCCACCTTTCACCAAGCAAATACACACTCTTGTGAATTTAAGCTCAAATGTCCCTTCCTTGGGAAAAGTTTTGCCTAACCTCCTTTACAAGGTCTAATTCTTTCACTTGTATTGTCTTATAGCACCTTGTACCTCTACTTTATGTTGCTTTCAAAGCAACATTTGTAATGTTAAATTTGAGTTGTAATTAATGCCATTTCTTTGACTATAAGCTTTGTAAAGACAGCAACAGTTTCTCTGTTAACTCACTATTGTATATCCAGCACCTCGCACAATACTAACATGTATTATGTGCATGTTAAATATTAGTTGAATGAATGAATAAATCTTTAAGGAGGGCAATTTGTCAGTATCTATAAAAATGTATAAATATATATATATACACCTTTGACCCCTCAATTCTACTTGTAGAAATTTATTCTGAAGCTATAGTTATACAACCAAACAAAAAAAATATACAAGGATATTATTCATAGCATCATTTGAAATAATGAGAGCTGGAACAAGCTAAAAAGTCAGTGTATGACTGGTTAGATACCTTATGGCATTTAAAAACAGGATAACTATAAGAACATATGGTATTATTAAGTGAAAATGGCAAGTTACAAAACAATGTATAGTATGTTCTCAATTTTTATTTTAAAATGCTTTCTATGTATTTTATATATAGGAAGTTATATATACTGAATTGTTTATGGTAATTATAATAGCAGAGAAGGGGAAATAAACAAGGGCTTTTTATTCTTTCCACTGTAATACCGCTGTATTTTTAAATTGAAGGTTGGAGAACAGGATTATAACTGCATTAAAATCATATAAATGAGAAAATTCTTGGAAGAGAGTACAGTAAAATGCTAACAAGGGTTTATATATCATTTTTTTCTTTATGCTTTTTCAGTCATTGTGGTTCTAGTTTTTTTTAAGATTTTACTTATTTTTTAGAGAGGGAAAGGGAGGGAGAAAGAAAGGGAAAGAAACTTCGATGTTTGAGAGAAACATAGATTGTCACCTCTCAAATGCCCGCGCAGCTGGGGACCTGGCCCATAACCCAGGCAAGTGTTCTGACTGGGAACTGAACAAGCAACCTTTGATTCCCAGCTGGTCCTCAATCCACTGAGCTATGCCTGTCAGGCATATAGTTCTTTTATGCTGGTAAAAATAAACATTCTTAGACAAAGAAAAAAACAATTGGGAAAATTATCAATAAATACTTAAGCTGATCTTCAAAGCAGTATACATTAAATTTTAACAGCATTGTTTTAGTATTGATGTAATGTTTGCTACCTTGTAATACAGCGATGTATTTCAAGGGGAGAAACACAGAAGCTATTTAATTCTCAGTAAAGTTCAACCTTTTTTCTAACTAGAGATATCTGCATTTTTTCCATAGCGGAGGTGAAACGTGTAGGAGATACACTTTTGGGTATGGCTACACAGTGTGTTCAAGTCAAGAATGTAATAAAAACATCCCCTCAAACTCTATCAAACCTGTGCCTAAAGATAAATGTTAAACTCGGAGGGATCAATAATATTCTTGTACCTCATCAGAGGTAAGTTAAGTTATTCACTTAATAAAATGTTCATTACTTTTTAATATTTTAATTTTTCTATATATTGCCACATCTAAGATCTGCTTAAGAAACAACTTTGATGATTCCTGCCATGGGAGATAAGTAGATATTTTGGCAAAAAATTAAAAGAGTTTGGATTGGCAAGATTAAGAGATTTCGTTGTGAAAATCCCCTCCCACCTCCATTTTCATTTAGTATGCAAAATACTTCTTGCCTAGCTAGAAAGTATTGAGAGCTTTATTTATTTCTTACTGGATAACCTAGCTTGAAGAATTTGTTCATTATTTGATAGTCATCTTCATGTTATGTAGAGTCTGGGGGAACAGAGAGGACATGTCAGTTCAGTAGATCAGTTAAGTAAACCATGTCAATCCTTGCTGCAGTCCACGGGACGACAGATGTTACTGTTGGAGCATCATGTCTAAGAGCCATTAGGAAGTATGAGACAGAATGAGCTAGAAACAGGAGGGGAAGAGGCTATTGTCTGGGGAATTGAACAGCAGGTTTCCTTTTCATAGTTGAAGCAAGCAGGGCTTTAAAATGTTAAATATCTTGACCATTATGTACACAAACAAGCATTACAATAAGGATATATGTTTAACATAAAAGGTCTTTTTTTCCTGGTTTTCCATGCTGCCTCTACTCCCTATCCCTATTAAATATGAGATGAAATTCATAAATGAAATGAATATAGAATTTTATCAACAGTCCCAAGAACTAAGAAATAATCATTTGAATCTCAAAAGATTACAGTTTCAGAAATAAAGTGAACTACTTTAGGATGGTAACTACATGTTACTCAGATTTATACTTTTGGCCATGGGAGGGGGAGTAGTAACCCTTTCTGTATATAGTTTAATGATTTTTTTTCTCCTTAAGAGATTTACATAAGCTAAAAATGTAAGTAGATTCAAAGAGATTAATACAAATTGGTGAATTAATATGAAGAAGTTTACATTTTATGCCTATTATGAAGAACACTGCCAGCAGTTGCCTTTTGCAACCACCATCACCATGACTTAAGGCAGAGAACTGCTCCAAATAAGGCATTGAATAGACCCGCTGTGACAGCTTTTCCTTCATTGACCAGGGGGGATTCATGAATTAAGAGAATAAAGCTGTCAGTATTCCAGGCCTATGAAGCTGTCCGTATAGAATCTCCTCTGTGCTGTGTCAGCAACTTGCAGTTGTGTTACAATAGCATGAAACAGATGAATGGATAATGAAAACAATGGATTAACTAACTCTTTTTTAAAATATGTTTAAGACCTTCTGTGTTCCAGCAACCAGTGATATTTTTGGGAGCAGATGTCACTCATCCACCAGCTGGCGATGGGAAGAAGCCTTCTATTGCTGCTGTGAGTGTCCTTAGGCCGATCTATCTTATCTAAAATTTAGAAGGTCAACATTTTGGTTTCAGCTTTTGAATTTTAATGATAGTTTCTTTGAAACCAACTTTTATAAACACCAAATGTTCTATATAATGTTCTTATATAGAACATATAGACCTTCATATGTTCTTTAGGTTTTTGAAAAGAATGATTCTGCTCTGGTTTGGGGCTACAGGTTCCATATATAGCTATTAAATCAGGTTTATTAATTATATTACTCAAATCTTCTGTTTCCTACTTTAATTTGTCTCTTTGACCTCTCCATGTTTGTATCTTTTCAATTACATTTTGTAATTTAAAGAGCTTGCTTATGTATTTCAGTGGTGTCTTTGATAAGGAAAAGATGCATTACAGATAAGATTGGTGGATTGAAATTTTTCAATATAAAATATCTCCCACCTTTGTTCATTTTAATACCTTGCACTTGAATTCTTTGTAATACCACCACTCCTGCTTTTAACATCTGCCTACTATAGCTTTTCCCACTTCTATGCCTGTAACCATTCTGTGACAGTTCTTTTTAAGTGTATTTCTTATAAACTACAGAAAGCCAAATAATATTTTACCCAGCTTGAAAATTGCTTCCTTTATGGCGCAGGGGAGAGTGGAAGAGGGGGAAATGGAGACAACTGTACTTGAACAACAATAAGAAAGAAAAACTTAGAAAAAGAAAATTGCTTCATTTTAACAGCTGCCAGTGTTTTCAAATGTCAACATATTTTAGGAATACTTAGTAAATTTTAGAAATTAAGCTGTAAGATTTTATATATTTTTATTATCCCTTATAATAATCTTTCCATCAATTTTAAGTTTCAACAATCTGATAAACCTTACTTATCTTTGAAAATGCTAATAACATTAAAAATTTTACATATTATTCAAAAGCTATTTTCATTAGTGAAGAAAATTGATTTTTGTTTATTAATAAATTATGTTGCTTTATATTCTTATAGTTATGCATGAATTGTTTAATTTCAGTGTCCTAGAGATGGTAGTGAGTCACTTGATATTCATAAAAATGTTCTTATAAAAGATAAAATAACTTATAAAAGAAAAAAAAGAAATTCAAAAGACTTACTTTGGATTTGCTATTTTGAGGTCATTTTCAAAGAGAGTTTAAGCATATTGGAATTCTTTTGGACTTCTGGGTAGTCACTGTACTTTTCTACTAAACCTATTTCTATGAAATACCCACTTTTATGATTATCAGAGATCTTGGAAATAGATTTTATTAACTGATTCTTTTTGCTGTATGGCTTATTTTCCCAAGAACTTGAAGACTAGTGTATGAAACAAATATAAGTAATAAATGCTACATAGTATAATAGATATTACCTTGATTGCAACATAAATTAAAATTTAGATTGCCAAAACCTAGTGTGTTTGGAGAATGTTGAGAAATGCAAGGAATTGAAAATCAGTATAGCAGCCTATGAGGCTAGGAAGATTTTGTGAGATTTTTTTGTGCAGTCAGAAGGGGTATAGATTTTTTTTTTTTAATGGGGATACCATGCAGGGGGAAGATAGAAGATTTTGGTTTGTGTTTTTCTCGTTTGTTTGGTTTTTTTTGTTTGTTTTTTGGTTTTTTTCATATAGAACATGAAGAAAAGCTTATATAAATAACCTCAGGCATATAAATAAGTAGGCAAGTTCTGGCTCATTTTTGTAAAAACTCTTGATTATTTCCTAATGTAAAACAAAAGAAAAATGTAAGAATTTTCTGTATTTTGGTTTCAAAGCAGTAAGATATATCTAACAAGAAGTAGCTTCCCTAAGGACCAGATAGAAAACACAAATACATCACAGTAAAGCTTGACTATGGATTCAAGCCTTCTGGTCTAGGACATTGCAGTAAGAGAGGTAAAATTCTTTTAACATTTATGAAACATAACAGTTCTAAGGTGATGTCGAAGTCTTTAGTATGGTTTTTGGTGTGGTTTGCTAAAAGTGGGAAAGATATAAAGAGAAATCAAAAGTTTGAATGGATCCTCTTTTTTACTTATCTTCTTTCTCTTACTCTCTTTATGTACATCTTTTTGTCTTTTTTCCCCTTACTAATCATTAGGTCTACTAACAACATCCAAAAATTAGAATCTAATTGTTAAATGAGAAGTGCAGCCTTCTTATAGGGAAATAATTTTTGACCCTGTACTGGGCCTTTTATTTTGTTCTTCACTGGGAATGATCTATTTTTTATACTCTCCAAATGAACGGTGGTAAATAGTAAGGTTATAATAAAATACAAATTTAAATGAAACCCATGTACTTGCTTTCAATTTTTTTATTACAGTAAGTTCATATTCATGTAGTTTTGATTATCTTAATTTTTCTTTTTCTTTACTTTTCCTACTTAGGTTGTAGGGAGTATGGATGCCCACCCAAGCAGATACTGTGCTACAGTAAGAGTTCAAAGACCCCGACAGGAGATCATCCAGGACTTGGCCTCCATGGTCCGAGAACTTCTCATTCAATTTTATAAGTCAACTCGGTTCAAACCTACTCGTATCATCTTTTATCGGGATGGTGTTTCAGAGGGACAGTTTAGGCAGGTTGGTTGCCTGGTATCTCATCATACTATGGTTAAATCAGATACTGTGTTTATAATATGGTGTCTAGTTCAGAAGTTAGAAGCCTTAATTAAGTTGAGCGTTCCTAAAATCAGAATTTCTTGCTTCCTTAGAGATTTCCCTTTTAAAATGTTTCCTATGGATGTGAAAGCCTAGATTGCTAAGACCATCCTTGATTTCAAAGACCATGCTCTAATAATAGTTAAGAACTATTAGATGAAACAGATGAGATTAAGAAATACTAAGATTGCCCTGACTGATGTGGCTCAGTGGGTTGGATGTCATTCCACAAACTGAAAGATTGCAGGTTCAATTCCCAGTCAGGGCACATACCTGGGTAGCGGGCCAAGTCCCCTGTTGGGGTGTATGAGAGGCAGCTGATTGATGTTTCTCTCACACATCAATGTTTTTCTCCCTCTCTTCCTTCCTTCCTATCTCTATAAAAATAAATAAATAGTTTTTAAAAATACTGAGACTAAGCAATTATCTTAGTTTGAAGTCTGTGTAAGAGAATAGCTGACTATATGAAATCTTTCCATTTCATCTTCTCTAGGTATTGTATTATGAACTACTAGCAATTCGAGAAGCCTGCATCAGTTTGGAAAAAGACTATCAACCTGGAATAACCTACATTGTAGTTCAGAAGAGACATCACACTCGGCTATTTTGTGCTGATAGGACAGAAAGGGTAATCTTACATTTGTTGTAATACTAGCATAAGCTAAGCTTATCTAACATAGTTCGTACAGCACTTAAACAAAGGCTCTCTGCCAACAGCAAAGTTTCTATTATATAGTAGCAGATCTCAACAAAGCAGATTATGAGTATAGAACTATCAAAATAGGTTAATATTTAAAATTATTTAACTTCCTAGAATTTCTAGTAACATTCCAAATGTTCAAAATCCCATTCATGCTTTTTTGTTGTGAAGAAACTCAGTTTTAAATTTTTTTTCTTTCTATTCATAATGTCCTTAAATGTTAAAAGAAAAAAGGTACATTCTCTTTTTAAAATATCTTCTAAAAATTAGTTTTTTAAAAAGCTAGGGACTTGCTAGAGTGATTAGTGGAAATCCTTGCAAACTAACTTTTAAACAATGCTTTCTTAAAAATTCACAGAATTATTTTCTGTATTTTATAATGTGAATATGTATTTTTATAATTAGGAAGGGGGTGGAGGTATATGAAGTCTATCCAGAAAGTATCCAGCCATGTACTATGAAAAATAAAGACATTTATTGAAGAAGATACAAGAAATACTGTACATAGGACAGTGACACCTCAGTCCCCTTCAAAGTAGGCACCTTGGGACCTCACATGGTCCTCCCAGTTGCCATCAACTGTCCCATCGAATTTTACTGAATCCCATCCAGTCTGAAATCTCTTCCCTTTCAAAGGTAATTTTAGTTTGGGAAAAGCCAGAAGTCGCAGGCGCCAAATCTGGGCTGTAGGGGGCTGAGTCACCTGGGTGACTTGATGTTTCATGAAAAAACTCTGCATGAGATGGGAGATGTGATGCATGAGCAGGCGTGTTGTCTTGATGAAGCTGCTAGTCACCAGTTGCCCATAGCTGCGGCCTTCTGAATCATCTGAATAGTGTCCACAGAGGAATGTTCAAGCTTAGCACAAAATCTGATGCAGATTCGTTGCTCTACTCTCAGTCATTTTGAATATAACAGCCACACAGTACACATGCTCATTCAACAGCATCTACTACCACCACTGAATGGTACAATGAAGTTGTCATTGTTCGCGCATGCGCATTCCAGTCCAACCTCCTTGACTGCCAGGTTGCATGGATATCTCTCAGACCGTTCTCATCATATTAACAAGGGCTGGACATTTTCCGAGTAGACTTCGTATGTACTTGAAAGTGTTTTATTAGGAGCTGTCTCATTATTTTGAACCATTTCATTCACATACCTACTTAGAGAAAATCATGGCGTCTGTTTCCTTGCAAGATGTTGAAACTGCTAGTATAAAATAAAAGAAGTGGCCTTTGCAGTCACTTCTGTGTTAGACCCCCAGCTCTGCCCTTTATTGTATGCTAGTGGGCAAATTATTTTATATTCCCTAGCCTTAGTTTCCCCTAACAAATGGGAATAATACCTAACTTGCAGGATATCAGGATTAGAAATAATGTATGTAAGGTACCTGACAAATAAAAATGGTTAACAAATGGTGACTATTGTTGATATTGCTGTCAGCATTCTTTCTCTCAAAGTACAGTGTTCTGCAAGGAGAATGCTAATTTTCATAAATTACACATACAAGAGTACATGTTATACACAAGTACCATAAATTAGAGCACTTAAAGTAACTTGAAAAATAAAATTCTAAGTCGTCCACCCATAATGGGATCAACTACCAGCTAAGCATGTAGTAGAAACTAATAACTCTTTGTTGTTTATCATCTCTCACTTTGAGTAACATTTTAGGAATAGTAACAAGGACTAGAATAAGGTCTTCTCTTAATGCCTGCTTAAGTAATATTTCAAGCAGAAAGTAGTGAATTGTGGGATTAGCATATATATTTATACATTTTTAAAAGTGCTTTCAGACACATTTTTTATATTTGCCTTGTTTACATTTTAATCAAACAAATCCAGGTTGGACGAAGTGGCAATATCCCAGCTGGAACAACAGTTGATACAGATATTACACACCCATATGAGTTTGATTTTTACCTCTGTAGCCACGCTGGAATACAGGTAAGCCAACACTTTGGGTGAAATGTTTTAATTGAGGAACTTCCATTAACAGGTATCCCTTTTTTTTTTTAAGATTTTATTTATTTTTAGATAGAGGGGAAGAGAGGGAGAAAAAGAGGGAGAGACACATCAATGTGCCCCCTACTGGGGACCTGGCCCGCAACCCAGGCATGTGCCCTGACTGGGAACCAAACCAGCAACCCTCTGGTTCGCAGGCCAGCACTCAGTCCACTGCGCCACACCAGCCAGGGCTGTATACCTGTTTTTAATCTCAGAAAAAGGAGAAAGAAATACCCTTCTCTGCACTTCAAATTGTTTCCATGTGAAATTAGATGAAACTTTTAATAAATAAATTTCTTCCCCTTTCATACTTTGAGAAGGGCTTATTTCTGTTTGAGTCAGTGCTTCTTAAACTTCCCAGCAGCAGAGAGTGAATCTGTATTCCCAGGATGTCTGAGAGAATGGAGCCCAAAACTGCTTTAGGCTACTTGCCATTGATTAAAATAGAAATCTCAGGAAGATGTACCTTACTCTACAGTTGTATCTTAAAGCTTTGTGTCTATACATTTCACATACACTAACCCCAGTTTTACAGCTTTAAAATTACTGTCCCACTCATTTATCTGTGTTCTTATATCTGCTCATCTTTACAGTTGATGTTGTACATTTTCATGGCGGGTAATTAAAAACAAAGTTAAAAGGACTTCTAAACTCTATATTTTTGGAGTACATGTTGAAGCCTAGTGTTTCCCTCCATGTATCCCAAGGGACACTGCTACTATGACTTTTTAATAATTACCACAGATGAAAGAAAAAGGTTTTCTGTTCAAATGAATTTTGAAAATGCTAGTTAAACAAGATTTTTTACTTTGGAACTTTTGGATACCACTGATAATGCAAGTGCATCTTCAAAACAGGAATATTTCCCCAGTGTATTTAACCAAAAACTTTAATTCTCTGTATAGCCCATTTTCTGATGGTTTTATTTCTGTATTACCTGTCTCATCTCTGGAATGTGTGTCTTATTCATTACTGTGTGGCTGGCACCTGTTACAGGACATGGCGTGTAGTAAGTGTTTAGTAATATTGAATATGTGTAACTGGACAATGTGTTACACAGGCATTCTAGACATAATTTGGGGGAGGTAGATTTGATAATAATTTGAATTTTATCCCCAAAATCTTGCACAGTGTCTGACAGACAAATACAAGCTAACCTTTCTCCATTACTCCTTTGCCACTGCCATTTCCTTATTTCATTCCTTCATTATCTCACGCCAGAATGAATGGAGTAGCCTCCTAACTGCTCCCTTTGTTTTCGGTCTCTTCCTGTTTCTAATCCATCTTTCATATTATCACTGATGTTATTTTCATAAAACCTCAATCTCATTACACCTAAAAACTCTGCTGTAAAAACAAACAAACAAACAAACAAAAAAACTGTGGTGCTTTCTCTGCCACCTACAAGTGAAAGTCCAAATTCTTAAACATGTCATTCAATCTAATGCCAAATATTCTTTTCAACTTCTTTGTCCCATCATATACCATACCTTGTTCATACGGGTCTATTAGTCATTCCCCAAATACACCATGAAACGCTATGCCTCCTGTGCTTTTGTTAAGGTGGTTCCTCCTCTCTGGTATCTCCTCACCCTAACCTCCACAAAAAAGCCAAATCTCACTCACTCCCCATTTGGTGAAGAACCAAGGCTTACTCCAATTACTTCCCTTGGTATTCTCTTACAGGACTAAGTGCTGGCAGTATTATAGCCACTTACTAGTTGTTTTATTATTGTAGATGTTCTGTCTCTAGTCCTCTATAAATTTTGTTTTAAAAAAACAAACCAGGAAATCTTTGACTTTGTTAATCTTTGAATCTCTATTATCTAACATAGTAACTAATACACAGGAACTCAATTAGATGTTCTGGTGTTTTTATTATGGTAAAATATATATAACATGCAACTTATCATTTTAACCATTTTTAAGTGTGCATTATGTACATTCACCTTGTCTTTCACCGCCTGGCTTATTTCACTTAGTATAATGCTCTCTAGTTTCATCCATGCTGTCGTGAAGGGTAGGAGCTCCTTCTTTCTTTCTGCTGCATAATATTCCATCGGGTAAATAAATATACCATAGTTTTTTGATCCACTCATTTACTGATGGGCACTGAGGTTACTTCCAGCAGTTGGCTGTTATAAATAGTGCTGCTATGAACATGAGGTGCATAGGTTCTTTTGAATTGGTGTTTTGGGATTCTTAGGGTATAATCCCAGCAGCAGAATTGCCAGGTCAAAAGGCAGTTCCATTTTTAGTTTTTTGAGGAAATTCCATACTGTTTTCCACAGTGGCTGCACCAGTCTGGATTCCCACCAACAGTGTCCTACGGTTCCCTTTTCTCCACAACCTCGCCAGCAGTTGTTGATTTGTTTATGTTGACCATTCTAAGTGGAACCTAATCAACAAAACAAATAAGCAAGCAAAATATAACCAGGGACATTGAAATAAAAAACAAACTGACAGTAACCAGAGGGGAGGGAGAGAAGGGTAATGCGGGGGGTGGGGGAAGGGTCATCAAGAAACATGTATAAAGGACCCATGAACAAAGCCAAAGAGGGGAAGGATTGAGGGTGGGAGGTGGGGGTGGGGGAGAATGGTGGCAGGAAAATGGAGACAACTGTACTTGAACAACAAAAAAAAAGAATATAATAATTAATAAATAATAATACAGGAATAAAAACACATTATTATGCAACCATATCACCATTTATCTTAAGAATTTTTTAATTTTCTCCAACACTCTGTCCCCATTAAACACTAACTCCCCATATCCCCCTTTCCCCAGCCCCACCATTCTACTTTCTATCTCTATGAATTTGACTATGCCAAGTACCTTTTACCAGTAAATCATACAATATTTGTCTTTCTGTAACTGGTTTACTTCATTTATAATGTCATCAAGGTTCATCCATGTTGTAGTATGTGTAAGACTTTCCTTCCTCAGTAATACTCCATTGCATGTTATATACCATTTATTGCTTATCCTTTCATCTATCAGTGGATGCTTGGGTTGCTTCCACCTCTTGGCTATTCAGTGCTGCTTTGAACATAGGTGTGCAAATATCTGTTCAAGTACCTGCTTTCACTTTTTTTGCATGTATACCCAGAAGCAACTAAATGTTTTTTTAATCAATTATTAAATTAGAATATGTTTTGCTAATGTGGAAACCTGGCTTTTTATATAACTTAGTCTGTGCTGAATATTTATTTAGAAGTTTAGAAATCAACAGAATATGTCATTGTCTTCTCCGTAGGGTACCAGCCGTCCTTCACACTATCATGTGTTATGGGATGATAACTGCTTTACTGCAGACGAACTTCAGCTGCTAACTTACCAGCTCTGCCACACTTACGTGCGCTGTACACGTTCTGTTTCTATACCTGCACCAGCGTATTATGCTCACCTGGTGGCATTCAGGGCCAGATATCATCTCGTAGACAAGGAACATGACAGGTAATACAAAAGCATAACAAAACTGATTTTTACCCAAATTCATGTATGACCTGCATGTTATGATTTTCTTGGGAAATTTCTTCGTTTCCATGCAAGTATGTGCCTCTCTGTTTACCATAAAGACCTGCCATTTAGAATTAAAGTTGCATACGCTGTTAGAGTCAATGATCCATATGAAGAGCAATGGTAGTCAAAACTGACTGCTCGTGATAAGGGTTCCCATTAAAATGTGCAGTCTAGGCTTGTTAGTAAGAGAATGACGTAGTGATTTACTTGCTCTACCAAATTAACTCAAGGGAGAGATTATTGCTAATAAAAGTGATATATACCAACAAAATTAAAGGATATCTTGGATTTGCTTCTAAATAATCCTGGGCAGGTGAAAGAAATAAAATTGGCCTTGAGTTAATAACTGGAGCTGGATGATAAACATGTAGGAGACAATTATACCAGCCTCTATTTTTTTTTAATATTTTTGAAATTTTTTACAACAAATAACGTTTTTCAGAATAGAGTTTGTTTGTGTGTTCATTGCCAATTCTCTTACAGTGCTGAAGGAAGTCACGTTTCGGGACAGAGCAATGGGCGAGATCCACAAGCTCTTGCCAAGGCTGTACAGATTCACCAAGATACCTTACGCACAATGTACTTTGCTTAAAAAATCCAAGAATATTCTCTGAGAAGAAGAACTGAAAGATGAATTGACATACAACGTATGTTTCCATGGAGTCTGTAGAGCGGGGATGCCTCCAGCCATACAGAAACCAACACTGTGGGGACCAGGGTCTGATTTTTATGTTGATACAAGGAAGATTGTTTACTTCATCAAGGAACACAGCACCATTATGCAATATGAAACCAGCCAACTGCTTTTTTGTGCGGTCTCCTGTAGGAAGTATCGCCATTGTTTTGATTTCACTTTCTTGTAGTCTAACCCTTTTAATGCCTTTACCTCAAGTTGCTTGGCAGCACAACTATCTTTGCAAAAAAAGTAAAGAAAAGGTAAATGATGATTTTTAAAAAACACACCAACATGAATAATCAGTGATTGTTCATAATTATGTGTGCAAAAAATTTAATGTGCATTCATGTATTCTTGTAAAAAGTATCTGTGTATACTTTAAGTATATACATGTATACTTCATATACATATATATCTGGATCTACGTTGATACTAGATATATATGTTCTTTATATATATTTTATAGTTCATTCCATTGGGAAATTTCTTTCCCTTTTATTGTCCTCTCACCACCACTTTTATTTCTCACTCTACCTCCCCGCCTTATCACCTACAATTTTTTTTTCCTTAATGCTACCAGTAACATTCAAATGTCCGTATCTGATTCATTTGAATATGAAGCATGGCAAAGTAGACTTTTGTTTTTATTTTGTACGCCCATTCCTGTCTCTTGTCTCATACACAATACTGAGTCCAAAACTCTTGATATTGCTTTGTTAAGGAGCAAAATTATTTTATGTATGTGTGTGTGTGTATATATATGTTTTTGTGAGAGTCTGTGTCTGCCCCCTCTGAATTTACATTTGCCATTTGTGCAATGTGTACATAAGCAGCAGCAACCTCTTCTTTTTTCTTCAGTGAGTTTGTTAAAGCTGCTATAAATATAAAACCTTGTCAGAAGTTATAACTCTTTCTTTCTATAAGTGATATGCATTCTGAACTCTTCTGTTTCTATGGGTTATACCCATGGAGATCCCTTAAAGGATTTTTTAAAGGGTAAATATTTTAAATGATTAGAACTCTGTAGGGTTGAGACCTCTGAAGTTGGAGGGAGAAAAAGATGGAGTTTTGTTTTTGTTTTTGTTTTTGTTTTTTTGCTAGTTTACTTGCTGCCTCTCATACCTTAATGTGATTTTCATATATATATTTTTATATATATGTTTGTGTATATATAAACATATATGTATGTATTTTGAAGTATAGCTTCCTTTTCTTTTATATTTATTAGAATAGTGCTTTAATGATTATAGAATGGTATTGGCAACATCTTTTATAGAAATATAATCATGTTTATTTTAAGAACTGACAACCTGTTTTTGCTATCTTTTCGTGCAATAAGCAGTTTTATAGGAAAGCTGTGTCTGTCTGACATCTCTACCACAAATAGTGTTAGAAACAGGCACCTCCGTGATTTGAAAAAAGCCGAGTGATACAGCCTTAATTTCAGAAGGAAAGTTTTTTAATTTTCAAGTCTAAAGCCAGTCTGACCTTGAATATTAAACACAAAATTGAACTTTGACTTAAATGATCATGAATAGATTAAAAATTAGAAGACACCTAAATTCTTTGAAAATAAATCATGTTTATGGAAGAATCATACTGGTTAGGTGCCTGTTTTCATTTACTAAAATGAATCAGGAAAATGTGATATTTTAGAAAATATTTTTGCTAATTTATCACCAGTGTAACTTTCCTTTTAAAATTAGGGTTATGGTGACAGAGGAAGTTAGGTCTTTGATTATTTCAAATGAGTTAAATTACTGAAATTTGGGAGAAAGTTTTGCAAAATTTTCTTTTATTTATTTCACTTTAAGGTATTAAAAAGTACTATAAAGCTGTCAAAACCAAGTTCACCAGTAACATTGGATTCAGGGGAGCTTTGCACTTTGTAACTCATGAAAATTGCATTTTAATATTCATTTGCACTGGTTCAGAGTATAACTATTACAGATTGTTTCCAGTGGGCATTGTTACTAACCTTTCAAAATTTTATCTGTTCTTGAAAACAAATGGATTTGCTCTACAGTTTCTCTCTTACCTATAATCCACTCTTACTGCCAGTTTACTGTATTTTGAGCCTAAAATCTGAGCCCATGTCCTCCAACAATTATGAAATCTTTTGTCCCTCTGTCAGAAAACTAAGAAAGTACTGTATTTTGTATGTTTATTATATTGAAGTGTCTGAAATGCAATTTACAACACTGTTTCAAAGCTCTTTACATGAGGTAATATTTGTATAGTATAGTATATACATTTTTTCTCCCAACCCTACCCCCTTCTCAAAAAAAATCCTATAAAGCATGTATTTCTTCTTATGTTGAAATTTCACTGAATAGAGTAGTCAGCAACATGGGCAAGAGAAGAAAAGTGTGTTCTAGGTGGTAAAAACGTGTTTGCTGTGTGCTTGCTCAGTATGAGTAAAACATCTTCCTTTATCAGTGGGAGTTACACAGGTTCATGTGGGAAACTTTAGGGCCCAGGGAAGAACTGTAGATATACCTGTTTACTGCTTTACCTACTTTTCTTTTAGCTACTTAGTTTCACATGCACTAGAATGAAGCCCATAATTTAAATCTATTTGGAAGGACTTTTACAAAGGAAAAAAAATATTTTTAAAATATAAAGCTTTACCTTTGAAGTGAGTTCTTTTTTACGGTTTCTAACAGTTTCAACATTATTAGTTTAAGGTTGGTTAACTTGAAAGAGTATGTATAGTATATTTCTATTTTGCTTACTAACAAATTAGTATGTCACACTTAATTAGAAGAAACATTGTACTTAGGATTTTAAGATAAAAGACTAAGAGGTAAATACTTTTTGAATTTTGTTTTAATTATTATTGCACTTCTGGTATAGAATTCCTGATCTTTTTTATTTTTTAAAAAAGATTGTTCTGAATGTGATGGCCATGAAACTCAAGAGTGACCTTTCTGTTCCCGCCCTTGCTCACTAACTATACTATGAATTCTAAGTTTCGGTCTGCTGTTTTCTGTGATGTACAGTATACGAGTGACTTTAAAATGTCAGATCCAGCAACTGGTGTAATTGGTGTTCATGCAAAGAAGAGTTGGGAGTTTAATGTGTATCCTGGATAGCAAATGAGTCCATGTAAAGTGCTGATACATGTTGTTAGACTATAGTCTCAAGTTACTGGCATTGAGGACCATACATTTATAATACTGTAGCTGCTATATTTATTTAAGTGGAGTCTGACACTTACTACACCAAACAATAAGGAGATGAGCAGGATTCAAGGCTAGTGTTAGAACCCCCTCTTTTTCCCCTAAATAACATTAAGAACATGAAACATCAAGGTAACAAAGGGTGCTGCCATTCTACTTTCAATTTAATATCAGGATAGTCTTTATTTGTTTTAGCAATAGGGATTTTTACTTTTAGCAGTTTTGAAAAAGGGTACCTCAACCTCTTCAGTACTGGTTATTTTCACAGAAATAAAGATGCCCTTTATTTCTTAATATTTTACCTTTTGCCCTGGCCAGGTAGCTCAGTTGGTTGGAGTGTTGTCCTGATGCACCAGGGTTACAAGTTCAGTCCTCGGTGGGGACATGTTCAGGAATCAACCAGGGAGTGCATGAATGAGTGGAACGGCCAACTGGTGTTTCTCTCTCTCTCCCCTTCCTCTCTCTCGCTCTAAAAATCAATAAATAAATCTAAAAATATATATATATATTTTATCTTTTAACAAGTTTCTCAGAAAAAAAAATATTCTTCTATGGAATTCTTCCTGTTTGTAACCTGTTAATTTATTTCTCTTCCTAGAAGAGAGTCTAAAAGGAATTCTAGTAGGAATGTACTGGGGGTTTTGGAAGGCACATGATAAAGATTCATCTCTACCTTCTAGCATAGGGACTCCTGGCCTTCTACAGTCCTATACTAGTATTCCAAATGAGGTTCTCTGATGGCCCACCACTGCCTAATGTTTACTTGTATGTTTATACTAAAATGGATTTTAGTATGATAGACCTCGTGAGAAACTGGGTCGTGACAGACTTAAGGTCTAGGGAGATAAAAGCCGAGTTGCCATTAAGTAGAAATGGCTGGCAGAGGATCTCAGTATTTAAGAAAAAGGTGAACACTCAGAGTGCCAGTAATACATTTGAAGTAATTAGAGGGATTATAGGCCAGGAATTAGAGACCCTTGTTCTAGGAATTTGGTGAGTGTTTTCAGGGGCTAACCTGAATTTACCAGGGGTGATGGTTTTTATGAAGTGGATGAAGCCAGCCACATGGTTTTAGCTGGAATATTCTGTAGTCTTGCCATGTAAAATTTGATAGTGATGTTTTGCCAACAAGCTTAACTGACAGCTCTGCATAATTTTTATTCAGTATCATAAAACCTGAGTTAAATTATTTGCTTAACTCATCATCGTACATGTTCCCCTATTGAATACTTTTAACGATAGGTTGCCCCAAACAGTAACTTGCCACTTAAATTACCTTTTGTATCTCTCTTTACTTTTCTCTGTTCCTCCTTCAGTCTGTTTCTTGTTTTATAAAAGTCTTTTGCCTTTAAAAAAATTATCTTTTATGAGTTATCAGTCAAGCTTCATTGGCTTGGCATCTTTGTTTTGGCTTTTTTATCTCTAAAATTTTAATCTTTTTCATTTTGAGAACTCATGGATGCTTCAAAGCTACAGTCATAACAGTTGGGAGGCTGTGTCAAGGATGGTGGTGTAACTCGGACTCTGGAGTCAGTCTTTATATTCTTGTTTCTCTCCCATTTGATCATGTAAAGCACTTTTGTGATTCTGCAGAAGTCAAAAAATAAGCAAAGAAAACTTGGTAAAATCAGTACTACAGAAATGTGAAAGTGAGAATTTTCTACAAAAAATCTTGTTTTTTTTTAAAAAAAATCCTGCTTATACTAACATTCTTGATCAGTGGCAGTGTTAGAAATGATACTGTGATTAGTGAAACCTAAGCTGACTCCCAGGAGGAATAAAATCCCTCTCCCCTCCCCGCCCTTCTTCTCTTCCCCTCTCTTGTCCCATCACTTCCAGTCCCTTCCCTTTCCTCCTCTCTCCTCCCCTCCCCTCCCCTTTCCTTCTCTCTCTCTCTCTCTCTCTCTCTCTCTATATATATATACCTTCACAAAAGGAAAATATTTAGACTTTTTCCTCCTTTTAAAAATGGTACATTTCAGTTTATAATTTTCCACGTCAGTCAAAATAATTTATTTCAACTAAGGTACAATGGTCAAGGCTTATACGAATGTCACCTACTACTAGTTGAATTTTATTTTTCTTTACCCATCAAAGATAGTACTCTAGGTTTTTACATTGCTGATTAAGCCTCAAGAATCTTTTGCTTTTAAAGTATGGAAGTTAAAGGTTCTAATTCAAATT